TCTAACCAATGTTCTTAACAAATAGTAGATGGTTACTGTGAGGACATTACTGATCTTAACCCCAAGAAGACATGCAAGCTTTAATACAACTTTCTTAATATTCAAAAAAATTCTCTTAAAATCAGAGTTCAAGCTACTTGGTCTCAATAAGTGACTTAGATTGTATTCAATATGTGAATTAGATTATATCTAAAAAAAGAAAAAAAGTATGATCCTAGGGCCTGTTCTTTCGTGAGGAAAACTATATACACACACATAGAAAAGGTAGCGAGTAGTGGTAATGAGCTGCCACACAGACATCATTAAGATTATAAAATTCTTGCTTTCTCCTTTATCTTTCTATTAAAAGCAAATTTTAATCAACCAGTCTCTTCAGTCCCACATACTTCAATATCTATTCCTAAAAAATGAGTATCTTAAGGTCTCTTTTTTATATTATTTGTACAATGGAATATACTCAGTAGCTTTTGAATATACGTGTCTGATTGACTATATTCTAGTATATTCAGGTTGACATTTTTTAAACTTCTAAAACCCATGGCAACTCACAATTAATTTTTAAAAATCTTTCAAAGAATATTCTTTCCTATAAAGTTTCACTAAGTGCCTTTGGCTTATAGCCTATATTAAAGCTAGACATATCATTTAAATTTAGCATAAAATCTGATTTTTTATTTGACAAGGAAACTAATTTCTGGTTTTCACAAAGGAATGGAAAGAAATAAAACTGGTCACTAGGCCTAACCAAAAAAACAAATTATCACCCCCCCCATTTAAAATGGAATTATATTCCTACAAAAGTATATACTGGTTGAAAAACATAATACATAATTTAAAAAGGTAGAAAATGATTCACATAGTCTAGTAACTCTATGGGCTTTCTTAACATTTCATAGTCAATATTCTTCACTGTAAGACCACAGAGGTATCATCTACTCAACATTCATTTCACTAAATGATAAAATCACAAAAACCAGTACTGGAAAATATACTTACTATATTTCCTATGGCTACTGCTTTGTTTCAGGAAAATGGCTGCCACTGGTTTTTGTTTCTTTGTTGTTTTTGTTTGCTTCTTTTGCAGTTTATGGTTTGAACCTTGAATCCAGGTACTTGTGCATGCTATGCAAGCACTCTACCACTGGCACACTCTGAGTCCTATCACTGTATTTAATGATGACATAAGTTGAAGTGTACCAGAGTTGACCTGCTGAGTTGCTGAAAGTTAAGCACAAAGATCTTAAAGCAAAAAAGGAATCTTCATCTATGAAACATATTTTGTCTTAATGACCAAATAATAATTTAGCATACTGATAAAAATATTTTTGAATACACCCAGCTTACTGTCTAGGGAAAGAGGGATAAGGGACAGAAACATACTAATCAATTGGCATGTCAATTAGTAATTTTCAATGGAATATTCTTCCAGCTCTCCAACAAAAGGATTTTGTGACATCCCCCTCCCCCCGCCGTTATTAATGCACTTTTTATTTATTTATTTATTATTTTTTATTCATTTATTCACATGTGCATACATAGTTTGGGTCATTTCTCCCCTCTGCCCCTCCCACCATCCCTCCCTTCCAGGCAAAACCTGTTCTACCCTTATCTCTAATTTTGTTGAACAGAAGACATAAGCATAATAAGAAAGACAAAGCATTTTTGCTAGGTGAGATAAGGATAGCTATACAGAGAGTTCTAGCATTGCTTCCATGCACAAATGTATTACAACCCAAGTTGATTCATCTCTAACTGATCTTTACACTGGTTCCTGATCCCCTTCTCATGTTGTCCTCTATTGCTTTAAGATTTCTGTATTAGTTCCTCTGCAGTAGGGACATCAAACACTTTCATGTTTTGAGTTTCCTACCTATCTCCATACCTCCCATATGTGCTCTCCCCTTGTCATGTGACCCAAGTCCTACAACATTGCTGTATTTGCCCTAGATCTAACATCCGCATATGAGAGAAAACATATGATTTTTGGTCTTCTGAGCCAGGCTAGCCTCGTCAGAATGATGTTTCCAATTCCATCATTACTTGCGAATGATAAGATTTCATTTTTCTTCATGGCTAAGTAAAATTCCATTGTGTATAAATACCACATTTTCTTGATCCATTCATCAGTAGTGGGGTATCTTGGTTGTTTCCACAACTTGGCTATTGTGAATAGCTCTGCAATAAACATGGGTATGCAGGTGCCTCTGGAGTAACCTGTGTTGCATTCCTTTGTGTATATCCCCAGGAGTGGTATTGCTGGATCATATGGCAGATCTATGTTTAGATTTTTAAGAAGCCGCCAAATTTTTTTCCAGAGTGGTTGCACTAGCTGTATTCGCACCAGCAATGTATGAGGGTTCCTTTTTCCCCACATCCTTTCAAACACCTGGTGGTGGTGGTGTTTCTGATGACGACTATTTTAACAGGGGTGAGGTGGAATCTTAGTGTGATTTTGATTTGCATTTCCTTTATACCTAGAGTTGGTGAGTATTTTTTATGTGTTTTGTGGCCATTCGAATTTCTTCTTTTGAGGAAGTTGTTTAGTTCAGTTGCCCATTACTTTATTGGTTCATTGATTTTGGGAGAGTTTAGTTTCTTAAGTTCCTTGTCTATTGTGGTTATCAGTCCTTTGTCTGATGTATAGCTGGCAAATATTTTCTCCCACTCTGTGGGTGGTCTCTTCAGTTTAGAAACCATTAACTTTTGTTGTGCAGAAGCTTTTTAATTTTATGAGTCCCAATTGTCCATTCTTTCTCTTAGTTGCTGGGCTGCTGGGGTTCTATTGAGGAAGTCCTTGTCTACACATATACTTCCAGAGTCCTTCCTGTACTAACTTCAGAGTTTCTGGTCTGATATTAAGGTCCTTGATCCATTTTGAGTTGATACTTGTACAGGGTGATAAACATGGATCTAGTTTCAGTTTCTTGCAGATAGATAAGCACTTTTCCTAGCAACATTTGTTGAAGAGGCTGTCTTTTCTCCATCATATATTTTTGGCACCTTTGTAAAAAATAAGGTGGGCATATCTGTGTGGATTCCTACCCGGGTCCTCTATTCTGTTCCACTGGTCTTCATGTCTGTTTTTGTGCCAGTACCATGCTGTTTTTATTGCTATTGCTTTGTTATATAGTTTGAAATCAGGTATTGTGTTAACACATTTTTAAACAATTAACTGTGAAAGAAAGTTCTTTCACAAGGTGCACAAAACTTGAAAGATATATTCTACTTTCTCCCAATTGTTCTATATAAGGTACAAATTATTTATCCTAAAAAGAATTCAAAGGATTTATCCAAATAGATAAACAAAACCCTAGGAGGCCTGAGAGTCAGGCCACTTAAAATCTTAATAAATGATATCAAGAGAGGACTGGAGGTGTGGCTCAGTCAGTACAGCGCCTGCTTCCAAGTGGGAAGCCTGAGTTTAAACCACAGTATCACTAAAGTGGGTGAAGAAGAATATATACAGAGATAAACTCTCACCTAAGCTATTTAAGTACAAAAAAGAATGAGACTTAGAGTGTACGTGCAAACTTGATTAGCTTGTGACTACATGAGATAATAGTACTTTCATATATACATTTTTTGCTCAATGTATGGTATTTGTCTGAACCTCTCAATATAATTGAATTTAACAGTACCTATTAAATTCAGTACGGTTGCATAGGATTTGTGACAGTCATTAATGAGCCAGATTTTTGACTGAGTTGAAGATGAACTCCCTGATCAAGAGGGTTTTTCTGTTTGTTCCCCTGCTGCTTACTGCAATGGAAACTAGAAGACCAATATTTTCAAGACTTCATTAAAAATGTAATAGTGATTTTTGTTGCATCTAAATCAAGTCAGGTTTGAAACTGGGTGGTGATTTCAATTTACAAGTAAATCAGTTCCAATTTTATAAAAATTTTTAAGTAAGACCACAAACTGACCCAGTATTATTCTGGTCTTAGAAAAAAAAAAAAAAAAGCTGAGTCACAAGTTTATCTCAGGAATTACTTCTAAAGCATACATTCATTCTTGTTATTTTTTCCTATCTAATTTGCAATCAACACAAAGTAGCTGACTATAAAACTTAAAATCACAATAACAGATATCAGGCGCTATCCCTTTAAAGATTTTTTTCTCATGTTCTTAACTAGCAAATTTTAGTACGTATTTTCGATGAAAAGGGTTTTCCTACAAAAAAAACTGATTCTGTTAGTGAACTGGGGGCTCTTTTGTTTAGATTTTTACCTATATAAAAGCATTAGAATGATATTAAAACAATGAATTAAGGACAAGTCACCTTTCCCTGTTAGTAAACAAAAGTTTGAAATAAGGAAAATTGTCAAACTTCTCTTGCTCAATATAAATAGGCTTTTACATTTACTTTTGCCTGTTGTTTGAAATAAATAAAGGGTTTTATTGCCATTGGAGCTTGGGGAAAGCCATAGGACAGCTTTTTCACTGGCACAGATTTGTTTTTAAAAAATATTGAAAAAATTCAAGTGCTACTTAAAACAAGCAAGGATGATCTCTTACTACACTTGCAATCATTTTTTTTCTTTCAATGACATGCAAGTGCACCTGAAAATACAAGTGATATAGCAATGGTTGTACAAATTTTATTCCTGAAAAAGGTATGCTCATAGCCGCATGAAGAATGAAAACAAAAGTACATTTTATGGTAGTGATGTTGATGAGTTATATGTATTGCCACTTGAGAAAAGAAAGATTATTTAAACAATTGGACTTTATGGGAACCTGGGTTATTGGGGAGAGAGCTAAAGCTAAAGCATTTCAAATGTATATAACAATATTTAAGTGCAGTGTATTCAGCACTGAGGGTACTAGTTATTGAATCACAAAGGTTATGTAACACGTCTCCAGTTCTTAGGATGATATCCAAATGATAACCTTCTTCTTTGAAATCAATAGGAAGGCTATAAAATATACTTGAGCATAGTTTTACATACAGTAGTTACAGTGGCTCAGAGTGGAGTTTATTTTCTTAAATTACTCACTTGTGACCAATCTCATGTGCAATGGTAAAAGCTGAACCCAGGCCAATGTCTTCATTAATGCTGCAGCTCCTTTCTGGCTCACACATTCCAGCCACAGAGGCCAAGCCTGAATAAACAGAAAGAGACACAAAGGGTCAAGCCAAGGTGTTTCAGTCTTAAAAAGCCCGTACTTATAAGTGCCTGGACTCTTTTTAATAACCTCCATGCACAGAAGGAGCAGTTGGCAAAAGGTTAACTTTCTAGTCATTTGCAAAATCACTGGGGGGAATTTCACTTTGCCGGCTAGACATTAATATTTTTTGAACTGCAGTCAGTGCTGGAAAATGTCTAGACTAGGGGTTAGATTTATAAATTTTACTTCTGGTAACTTGGGACCACCTAGTAACTTGAGCCAGAAGAGGGAATTCAAGAAAGCATTTCTATTTTAACATTCTTCAGGCTGTAGAAAGCAAAATACATTCACGTTATTTTTCTAAAGAGATCTGTTAAGTTAGTGGTTCATAAAAATATACAAGCACTTTTTAGTTACGAAAAAGGGAATCCCAATGTTTTTTTAAATGACACTTTTATAAAACAAAATGAATAATTCAAAGAGAAAAGGGAGAACTGTAAAGACAGGAGACTTTTGCACTTTTTTTAATCTTCTGAAACTGGTCCTGATAGTGATGCAACAATTTCTTTTAATATCTTAATGGAAGGAAAGTCATTCACACATTGAGTGTAGTTTTCTCTCTCCCATCACCTATAATGCATTAAAGTTTTATTAATAAAGCAAAAACTATGGTGTTAATTCGCTGATTCTAGTGAAATGTTATGTTACTTGAGGTATTCTCCCCTTGGGAATTTTAGTATGTAAAAGTTTTAAATTTTACTTCCAAATGAATATCATGCTCTGTGAATTAGTATAGAACTTTAAAACAGTGGTTAGACAAAAAGAATTTTTATGCAAAAGAAAAAAGTGTCACCTATTATAATGTAACAGTTGCCAAATCATATTTAACAACACACAGAGACAAACATTTAGAAGTTGAAGGAAAAGGAAAAATAATTTGTATGTTAGTATTTACTCTATCATCACTCAAATACTAAGAATTATGTTCCTGCCAAAAGTTGCTTCAATTCCATTCAATGAATATTTACTGAGTGCAATAAGCAATGTTCTGTGCTTAGGTACCATTACCAGTTGCACCAATTGAGAACAGTGAACAATATTCAATTCATACTTTTTATTGACAAGAGTGCTCTGCAAATTGTGTTTCACTGTGTTTTCTACTATAAAAATCTAATATAAAGACTTTTGTAACATTGCATCAGAGTTAAGGTTAGTGCTGGACATGCTAATAGTTTGCTTTAGGTCCTACTTTTAAGGAAAGTAGGGAGTTGAGTTCTGCCTCAGAGCTGTTATTAGATACTGCCAATACCCTCATAGTGCCCTTCCATTTCACATAAAGGTCTTGGGACCTGAAATAGAGGATGTAAAACGAGAGACTAGTTGAGGCAAAATGAATGCTAATCAAAAATATTTATTAAGTATCACTTCTATTTTCCACTGAGGATGTACACACACTCACATGCCCAGGTACAGAGTGAGAATCCAAAAATATTTGTAGTATATCTTCTGGCTTTAAATTATTGGGTTCAGTGTGGCCCATTATGTGGGAAGAACAAAGCCACAATGAACATCATTATTGTTAATGCTTTTTATATTTCCCAAAATATATTATTCCATGGGCTAGTTTTTTTGTTTTGTTGTTTCTGTCATGTTGTGGGATTTTTTGTTGTTGTTTTGTTTTTTTTTTTATTGTTGTTGTTGTTTTGGTATGTGCCATGTGGCTATGTTTTTAATTCAGAATTCTCAATGACTGCCTGATGCAAGCACAGATTTACTTCTGATATCTGACATGAAACTGTTAACTATGCTAAAAGAACAAGAAAGAATATATTTGGAAAATAACTAATTGCTAAGACACAAATGTGAATTTAATTAAAGTGAGAGTATTTTAAATACGAATGTATTTCCATAGCCCCCCCCCCCATTTTCTAGTTCCCTATAAAACTGAAGCTGTTACAAGTTCTTTGGTGTGACTGTGTTAATAGGGGTTTGATTACTATTTGGGTCATTTAGATTTCCTAAGTTTGATGACCACAATTTGCACCCTTAAACCTACTTAGCCATATTACAACTGGCGGGCTAGAGAATATGCAAAAACCAATATAAAGTCAACATGAAAATGATTGGAAAAGTAATAAATTAAATTAATGCAATTAAAATTAAATTACTGAAAATTAATAACGTGTTTTACTTTGTACTGATAATATATTTTCTTTTGATGAATGTATGTAAATGCATATATATGTAGATCACTCAGTTTTCAATACAAGATATAGTGAAAAAATAATATATAATGCCTTAGAATTTGAAAAATAACTTTTATTGAGCTTGAAATACATTGATGTGAACCTAAGTATTAATGTACTGATTCTAGAAATTAATAAACTATCAAAGCTGAAACACATTATTTTCAAAACCTAAAAGAGGAAGAAGTAGGTTAGGAAAATCCCTCAAATCTTTGGCAATAATGACAACAAAAGTACTAGTTGTGGTACTAATGACATTAGTGACTAGTGTTACTAATGTCATAATAAAGAGTGTATCAGTGCAAATGAGCTACCTTCGAAGATCATGTATTATCATATTTATATACACATATATATCCATCCTATATGTGTGTGATATATACATATTTCCTCAAAATGTATATGCTAGAAAAATATAAAGTCTAGCTTATACATGTACTTGCTTTGAGGTTTGTTATACTAAAATGGATTAAGCATTTAGTAAATTCCAACAGAATTTGTACAGTAATAGAGCAGTTAAGCAGTGTGTAGATGATTTCTACATTAAATAATAATACATGTTTATTTCTATAGTAATTCTTTACAAAACACCTTTGTATTTTCTTTCTTAAATTATTTTGAACAATATCCCTATGGTTAACGGGCAGGTATTGCACCTCCTTCACAGACAAAAACAATAAACTGAAAAGTAGTACAATGAAACTGTCAAAGCCAGTTAGTTTCCAGATCAGGGTTCTCTCCACTGGTCTTGTTAACTTAAAACACTACAAAGAAAATCCTTTTGATATGAGCACTCTTAGCAAAGAGCGCTTTTCCTGGGTTATGTATTTTAACAAGCAAACCTCCATGGTTACTACTTGGCACTGGCTAATCGGGATTTCTTCTTTAGCTATAAGTCTTAAGGAAAATGGGATAGTTGAAGCCAGGTAAAAACCATCATCAAGAGAAATTCCAGTCTCTGAAGAGGTGGTTCACTGAACTGTCCAGGAAGTGGGATAACACTCTTTTCCCAAATGATTAGGATGTGCATACAAACTGATTCCCTATTTCTATACAGATAGAAAAGTGAGACTTGTCATAGAGAATTCATCTTCAGTTGCTTAGCTTCTGACTCTGTAAACACTAAAAAAATCTATCATAGAAGAAAAGCTCCTGCTCCTCAAAATAACACTAGTTGTCTAGTTATTTAGTCTCCTGGAAGGCCACCACTCACTGCCCTCCATTTGAATTTGTAGTTAACTTTCAGCCAATATGAAATTATGCTCAGTAACAAAATATGATTTTTAAAACTCTAGAAAACTATAAAAATATTTTTATAAAAGCAAATGATGTTTGGGGAAAATAAGAAAGATAATCCTATCTTCTGTCTATACCTCTAGCTATACTTTTTTACAAAATTGCTTTCATATATTGTTTAGGTACTAAAAATTTCCAGTAACATCTTAATTTGTAGGGATACACTCTTTCTTCAAAATTGTACCTAAAGGAGTAATCTTGATGTGTACCCTTTAAGCACTCCCAGATTTTTTTTTCCTTTCCTTCACTAGCCTGGAATTTCATGATGGTGGTTGCTTTCATTTACTCAAACCCCTTGGTATTTTTAGAAAATACATTACAGAAACAAATTATATAAAAGTGAGTGGCTACTTTGATTTATAATCATTACTTGAAATTTTAAATCATCTTTTTAGTTGTTTTTAATCATTATATCATTTCCCAAGGATCAAAAAGCTAATTAAATTTATATAATCTTTATTATGGAAATACATATTTGCTTCCTAGTAAATCACATATCTACAAAGGTCAGGTTTAACAATTTTTAGAGGTAATTTCAAATGTACCAGAAAGGAAAGTGACCAAGTTAATAATAAAGAGTAAATCATTGCTCCAAAAAGACAATCTGAACTATCCTCCTTTTATAAACAAACAAACAAACAAACAAAAACTTACCCAATGTTCCACAGGGCTTATTTTTATAAGTGCAGATATCATATCTATAGAGGAGAAAAAAAGAGATAGAAGATGTAATCTGGTCAGATTTGTAAATATCTTTTGAATATTCATGGTATTTCTTTCTACAAGCTCTGGTTGTCACACCACAGTCAAGGCAATTATGAGCAGCCAGCTGGAGTGACAGCATTGTCAGCACTCCAGACAGGCTGCAGGATTGATGTTCACAGTCTCTGGCTGCCAGTAAGAAACAAAGTTAAAGTGGACTTTTGTAATTGAACATTCCATAAAACAACCTAGCATATTGTTTTGAAGTTAGAATAACTTGTCTATAGGTTGCTACTGCTTCTACAATAATTAAAGGGGTGACCTTTTTATTCCCAATCTCTTTTGAACCTGCTGGAATATGACCTTATTATAGGGACAGACTATGTTTTATACTTTTGAACTATAAGCACTAGTTGTAGTTCTTTCAACTCTGACACAGGTTATTGTTTTAAAAAAACAAAGACCATGTAATGCTGCACTGGCAATTAAATTGATATTACATATTTTTCCTAGTTATATACTAGCAGCTTAGCATTAAAACACAAATTTGAAGGTGGGGAGCAGGTGTGGTGGCTCATTCCTATAATCTCAACTACTTGGGAATGGAGATGAGGAATGCAGTTCAAAGTCAGTATGGGCAAAAGGTTAACAAGACTGTATCTCAAAAAGCAAGGAACATGTGGTGACTCATACTTGTGATCACAGCTATTTGAGAGGTAGTGATATGAGGATCACCATCTGAGATTGGCCCAGGCAAAACCACAAGACTCTATCTGAAAGACAAATTAAAGCAAAAAAACAGGGGGGCATGGCTCAAGTGATAGAGCACCTGACTATAAGTGCAAGGCTCTGAGTTTTAACTCCAGTATTGCCAAAAATAAGCCAAAAACCAAAAAGCGAACAGAAATTATATTAAGTGATTTTACAAACAGGTGACTTGCTTAATAGAATGCTTTCTTAATCTCAGACTTATCTAATGCTGTACTGCATTATAACTCAGTACAAAAGATTGAGTCCAACACCTAAAAAGCTAGATAGCATTTGTTGCCCTCGACGCAGAGAAACTAAAGCAGATACCTTAAAAGCAACGGAGGCCAATAGGAGAAGGGGACCAGGAACTAGAGAAAAGGTTAGATCAAGAAGAATTAACCTAGAAGGTAACACACATGCACAGGAAATTAATGTGAGTCAACTCCCTGTATAGCTATCCTTATCTCAACTAGCAAAAACCCTTGTTCCTTCCTATTATTGTTTATACTCTCTCTTCAACAAAATTAGAGATAGGGGCAAAATAGTTTCTGCTGGGTAGCCAGGGGGTGGGGGGGAGAGGAAGGGGGCGTGGGGGGGTAAGGGAGGGGTGGGGGGAGGTGGCAGAAATGACCCAAACATTGTATGCACATATGAATAAAAAAAAAAGACTGAGTCCAAAAGGTGATACTGCATATTTTAAAATATATTATATTTGAAATGCTAACCCAATATTGATATGTTTATTTTAAACATTTTCTTTTTTTTCATTGCAAAATTTCTATTTATTTATTTATTTTATTGTTTTTATTGTTTTATTATACATATGTGCATACAAGGCTTGGGTCATTTCTCCCCCCTGCATCCACCCCCTCCCTTACCACCCACTCCGCCCTCTCCCTCTCCCCCCCACCCCCTCAATACCCAGCAGAAACTATTTTGTCCTTATCTCTAATATTGATATCATTGTAAACTTTTAAGCCCAAAATTTAGTTTCTAAAAAATAATAAAGATGTACTTCAAGACTGAAAATTTTTATTTGCCTATGGTTTATGCTAGAAATGAAAAGGCTTTCAGGTAAAAAAAATTTTTTTCCACAAATTACAGGGAAATCCAAGTTATAAAAAGTTCTCTTTGTGTGTGTACAAATAATGCTTAGTCAGTATTACTGGGCAGGAATTAGAATTAACTGCATTCTTATTCTTCAATCTACAGGCCAAAACATAATTCCATTTGTGATAGCCAGCCATATTGGCAGTGTTGTTGAACTCATTAAAATTCCTGTAGATTCTCTCTACCTACTTTTTGAATTTTAAACTCTTCCTCTTTTTCATTTTATATCTAAGGAAAGGGATTTTCTTTTCCTCCTGCATAACCTTCTTATCAGACCATTCACACACTTAGCCTCTCTTTTCTCCTGCAATTTGGTAAACATGGGATTATGGTGTTTGAAAACACTTTTGAGTGCAAAATAATAGACAGGGTACTGTTATATTCATAAAAGCACAAGGAAGTATATTCTGGGTGTCATTGTCAATTCATCTCGTGACCATTATGTGTCAGCCTATTACATTACAAACACACAACTCATTCCAGCAATCTTTGAAAAAATGTAAACAAAGAATTTTCAAGAGTAATGAAGATACAGGTGTTTAAATAGAATCTGCTTCTAAGTCTTCAAGTTCCAACACTTATCTTTCTTGAAAGTGATCTACCTGAGAATGTACTTGCAATCTACCAGTTTTTCTTTTTCCCTTTCACAATTACCCTGTTTCTACTTTTAAAAAAAGAAAGCATACCTCTTACCCATCCCAAATCATCTTATGGTACACTGCCCCCAGATGTAGAAGACTCCAGAACAAAGGCAAAAGGGTAATTCAAGAGCACACTGAACCTGAGAAATAATACCTTAGGAGCACAGGAAGAAAAATTTAAGGGAAAGATACTTATTTCATCCAGGCAAAGTTCCTTGCCTTTCTGCTAGCCTTCCTGTTTGTAAATCAGTCTCACAATTGGGATTCAGAAGTGGAGTGAATGGCTTAGGGGTTGCTCAGGTGGTAAGCAACTGCCTAGCAAGTTAGGGGCCACAAGTTCAATCTTCAGTACTGCCAGAAGTGAAATGGTAGTCGTGGAGTATTAATGTGTTCACTTAATGTAAAAAATGAAGTCAGACTTATTACAGATTTACAGTTAGTCTGATCATCATCAGTAGTTTGGCAATGATGGCTGATTTAAACAATTCAATTACATGGTAAACATTTTTCATGATTGAATGAACTAAATATGCTACTCCAAAGTTTTGACAAAATTAACTTAAAGCATATAAATAATATCTATTAACTATGGTTTCTGTGGCTCCTTAAACTTACAACTTAAAAAAATTCAGATAAGAAATTTAAAATGTGAAAAGTGAAAATCATTTAAAAAATTTATTTAAAAGGCCTATTAAGCAAAAAGATTAAAGACCACAGACAAATAACTTTTATTTCTAGGTCATGCCAGTCCTTTTTCCTATTGTTTTGCCTTCATTGTTTATGTTACACTCATGATAAATACTATTTCATTCTGTCACATCGCCCAAATGATGCCATAAAAACAAAAGCCATCAACCAATAATGCAAGCTAAAACATCTTATATGAAAGAATTTAACTTGCATTTTCTTCATGTTTCCTCAATCCTCTGACATATCTATAGAGTTCCCTATATCATACCAGGAAAAAATAAGTAATTTCTTCATGGCTTTTACATAATATTCACACTGTTTTCTTCTCTATTTAATGTTCACAGAAAGCAATTATGACCTACATACTATCTGTAATACCAAATACTGAGGAGCAACATTTACACATTCATTTTTTCATACATGGGTTTTCTAAGTATTTATATGCTCAGGCATACTACCATGCACTAAGAATCAAAAGATAAGTAAGTGAATTAGCTGTGGTCTATCTGGGAAAAGATACAAATAGATAAGTTATAAGGCAATGTAGAAAGATTAAATAAAATACATAAAAAATAAATGTATGCAATATAGTCAATATTTGTTAGCTATTATAATGGTTAATGTGCTAATCAGGTTTTACACAAAATATTTACAGAGGAAAGAGTGATTCTGCATAGAAAATTAGCAAACTGACTCAAAAAGTACATAACATATAAAAAGACAAGTGATTCCAAGCAGAGAACAGAATATTCATAGGAATAGAGTTTGGGAAGTTCCCTGGAATATCCAAGGACCTAGAAAAATTCACAGAGGCTAAGACATTAAATGTTTAGAATGAAATAAGGGTTTTTGGGTTTTTTTTTTTTTGTGTGTTGGGGGGGACTGTCAGATTACTAAATATCTTAGGTGCCAAACCAGGTATTTTTCTACAGGAAAGAGCAACAGAAAATAGTTTGCATAGTAGAAAAGTTGTATAAGCATGTTTATGTTACTATATTTAGAAACTGAGTTTGAATCCAGAAATGGATCTGGAAGGGTAGCAGCAGGCATCTAAGGGAAAGGTAGAAGAATATAATGATTTTATTATGTACATTTCTGTATAACCAACATACTGGAAAGTGTTTCAGCTACACCTGTCTCTGACGACCAATTTAAGAGAAATTTTATAATTTGTCTAATGGGTATTAAATGAATAGGAAAAATGGGTTTTTGATTGAAGAAAAAATTAGTGATGTTCCAGACCTTTATTGGCCAAAACATGTGAGGCTCAGCCCAGCCTGTACACTTAAGTAAAGCTTCTGAGATTTGTCCTCTGTGTGCAGTCATTGGTTCAGAGGGTTATTGTGCATGATAATAAATATTTTCATGTACATACTGAGTAAATTTTTCATTCAATGTTGTCAGAGCAACTAACAGCGAGCTGAGATATCATCAAACTAATAAAATAAGCAGTATGAACTGTTTATTTAATATTTGTAGGGAAAATGGAATTGGATTTAAAACTTCCCCTTCATTATAATTAGTAACAACTTTCACCCACCAGACTGTCAGAGCTTGCCTAACAAATTAGCTTAGATCCGTGTGCAATAATAAAGATTCATAACTGGTGGAAGAAACACCTGCTAGGGTAAACAGAAAAATAATTTACATGGGCTGAGCACAGTGGCTCACACCTGTAATCCCAGCTACTCAGGAGGCAGAAATGGAGAGGATTGCAGTTCAAGGCCTACCTGGGCAAAGAGTTAGTTGGACCCGTCTCAGTCAATAAGCTGGGCATGATGTCACATGCCTGTGATTCCTACTAT